AAAAAAAAAAAAAAAAAAAAAAAAAAAAAAAAAAAAAAAAAAAAAAAAAAAAAAAAAAAAAAAAAAAAAAAAAAAGTCAATTTTAACCTACAATTTCATCAAAATCGCAGTAGGATCCAACCTAAGTGGAACCTTTCTTACATAATTATCGAGAAAAGAAAAATCCAAACTTTCTTTTGAACTATTTTTGGATTCAGAAACGAAAAGTAACAATAAAGAGATTTTCTGGTCGTTAAAGGACAACAGTTTGGTACAGAATAACTTATGAAGAGCGTTTTGGAGGAGACATGTTACCAACGAGGGAAATCACTGTCCTGATTGCAAATATCTGAAGCAGGGCTCCTGTATGGAGGCATATCACAATTCCTGCGTTAGTTCATACTTATTGACTCTGAAAATCAATGAAGATAGCATGTAATAAACAACCCACCAAGAAAAATGCGGATCGTCTCCAAAAGTTCGAGCTTCTTTGTCTGCCAATTACTCAGATCCTCAATTCCCTAAATGGCTCATGAGATTCAAAGTTCAGTCAGAATGGAGAATAAAGCATTCGGAACAGACATCACCCCACGGAAGCTATGATCAAAGCTCGTAGAGTTATAAATACAATCAACCAATCAAATTGAAGCTCCCAACCATTTTCATGTATAGATGCCAATGGTGACAAAGAAACGATGAATCTTTGGAGTCTCGACAACTACACTTGTATAAAGCCTACTTTAATTTTCATCGAATTCAATTTCCCGGTCTCATTGCTATTACTTCTTCGACTAGTCAGCATAAATAACAATTCCATAACATTTTCATTTGATTTCTCTCTTATTTAGAGCATCAAATTAGAGAATGAATCAGTTTTCCTTACCTCAAACGTATAATTTCCCTGAGAGACATTAACAAAAAGTAGTAGGAGCGCAAGAGATGATGCAATCATATAAGCTTTCATGAAACTTGCACGGCTACGCCTACGACCTTCAATAGAACATTGGCAAAAAAATCAATCATTACAGTTGAAACAGACAAAGATGTGTAAGTTAGAGCTAAAAAAGAAGTAATAATATAATTAGCAACCTAGTTCTCCTATGAACAATGAAAAGAAACCAATGACAGCAGATGAAATTGCAAGTTTATCTGGAGTCTCCCTCTTTGATGTCAATATAAACAAGTAGACCACTCCACATAACTGAATGATAACCTGCAGTATAATCCAACAGACCCAATTAGGGTAGAACAACAAACAGTCATGAGAGGTCCAGAGATAAGCAACGGCTCCCATGAAATAGCAAGTTTATCAGGGTCTCCCTCTAAAATCTTTAGCATTTACAAATTTCAATAGAGGAACTAGGAAAAT